AAGTAGCTAAACCTCAAATTTTAGGCATTATATTCCTGATGTTAGTGTCTAGCTTTCTGGAAATCCTATTACCACCAGCTGACCTTTGCTTAGGTTTAGCAAAGGGTCAGGTCCTGAATCACAAATACCCGATATCCTTACAGTCATTCAGGTGGACATCAACAGAGATCAGTGTTGATTTCATCACCTAATTCCAATACTTTTCAGCCACCATCATACACAGAACAAGGTCCTGCATTGGTCACAAATGTTTATATTACAGTATCCCTCTCATGGGCTCTCAGGAAGCATATGAGTGGATTCAAAAAGTAGTGGCACACCTTTGAAGCCTTCATAATGCTCACAACTGTAGTATTCAGGACAGATTCATTGCTCCATTCTCTGATTGTATTCACTGTTGACCGTGGCATGCTTCTGATATATGGTTTTCATTTGGTGCATCTTTGTCCTTGCTAACATAACACAGTGCTCTTGAAGCCATGTTACTCATTTTTGTGAGTAAAGTCCTAACATACACCAGATCCCCTCATTGAATGTCAGTCATTTCAGTATACACTGGAAGCACGATCAGACAACAAATATGTGTGGGTCCTACCAATGTTTATTGTTGGAAAAAGTAGGTGGCCTTGGGATGTCAGCTACCATTTCCTGATAGATCCGCCTAGTGTATGCAAACTCAACATTGGCTATGCTAGTATTACTTCCAAGTTCGCTTTGAGATAGACAGGAAGATATTGTCACTGACCGCCAGAGATCTAGGATCAACACACGGTCCTATCAAAGAGATGGAGTACTATTCAAGGGATGCATTGAGCCATTTGAATCTGTTCATCTGTCATAGGTGAGGTGGGTTCATGTGTTGATCTTAGACATTGGATGCAACATTGACGATGTGATTGTCTTTCTAGAACACAAACTTGAAGAAGTACATTATCACCCTCGTGGATACATGCATACAGCAGGAAGTGTACTACTATGAATCTGGTCATGCTATACAGAGCAAGTGTCTGCAGGAACACCAGTGTTTGCTCAGTTGAAAACCCCCTGTTCCACACTTGAAACTGAGGTAAAAGGGTCCATCGAGGAGGGCAAGTCTGTAGTCATTGCCACTTGTCCAAGGAATGAACACGGGCATACTGACAGCTACTACGTAGAGTTATGTGAAATCATTGACCTCACATCTGAATATCGACGCCACCATGCAGTGCGACAACCCTCACATAGCTTGGTAGCCTTTCATAGTCAGCGCACTCCGACATGCCCATCCCGTTGAGAAAGCGGCGACTCGGAGTGTTCCTTTGACCAACGACACGACCACGGCAGTCTCGGTAGGGTCGCGAGGTGACTCAGCACGCACACAGCCACAGAGAATGTTGACAGTCTAGTGCCACCATCGCGTTCGTGTTTGAGCGATAACGGCTGACCTCAACTGGTGCTCCTCGGGAACAAGGGAGAAAGCAAAATCGACACGGGCATTGGTCGTCCGAAAAACAGCGCCCCAGCGCGCGGCTGACGACGAGCTATGCTCTCCGGCGGACAAAACGACGTTCTCAGCGACAGCTCCATAGGGCGTCCTGATCAGGACAAGGATCGCCAGTGCTTGAGGCGGCCTGTGCTCGCCCGTTTGTAGTGCTGACGATCAGCCCGGTTGATGCAACTAGTGCACTACTATCCAGCGGCCGTCTTCCAACCTAGGGCCATGTCAGAATTTGTATATGAGGTGAAGAAGCGATAGGAGTGACGTTGATGTCACTTGGTGCATAGGTTGTCGACATCGCGAGGTTTCTAGGCACGTTGAGTGGGCCGTGGATAGCTCCTGCTGAGGGACGAAGGATGGTCACGGTCTGGCGTCGAGTGGCGAAGGCCATGAGCTCCAAACTAGCACGTTATTGAGGCCAAACTCACCTCGATAGTCGTTCTAGCCTTATCAGATGTCAGAGAAACACAGTTCAAGATGAGCTGGCGAGCTCCGAATTCGTCCACCACGGTCTCCAATTCGCCCCAAGGACGTGGTGAACTCTGGCATGCGTAACGGGGCGGACATATAGTGCCCGTCGGAAGGCAGATACCCCTCTGCACGGGCATTACATGTGGGATGGTTGCTTGACCGTCTAGCGCGGGAAGTTCGATGCGCTAGCATCGTCAGATCCCAGTCACAGCGAGGCACAGCGATGACCCACGATGACACACTGTGGAGAGATAATTCACCGTCTCTCAATTAATGTCTGCCGTAGTCAGAAGCACTGTTGCGGTGGACGGACATACCCTCACGACCTTCTCAAACACCTCCGTGTTGTGCATGTGTGCCGTCACGGCGACGTCCACCCGAGCGTTATTCTCGTCTGCGTCTCCTGGTGTGTACTGCGAGGCGCACCCTCTCAGTGTTGCCGCACGACGTGAAGCTTGCGCTCGCACTGGTGGTGAATCCTTGCCAGTGAGTGGATGAACGACCGCTGGACCAGGGTAAAGAATGCGACAGTGACCATCACATTTCTTGAGTTGGTCCCATGTCGTAGCATTTCCCTGGCCTCTACCGACCCGACGAACTGCAGAGAAACAATGTAGGTCCTAGGAGTACGATGTGAGCAAGCGACAGCAGCCCGGATTCAATCGACGTGGAGTCGCATTCGCGATCACGTGCATTGATGTACTCGGCCCCCTCGCAGCTTCCGACAGCGAGCCGTCTATCTTTGCCAGGTATGTCCAACAGATGCCACTGTCCTTGACCCCTATGCGTGCGAGGCCACAAGAGCTTGAGACGGCACCGACACAGTACATTATCGATAGATACATGTAGCGCTACAAGGCACTATAGATAGCAACATGGGCATGAATGAAAAGACGTCTAGCAGAGGATGCAAAGGTTCGTGAAGTCGTGATGCGCATGACGTCCTCGAGGGTCAGTTCTTTCTATTACAGGGGAATTGCGGCGGTGTGTTGGAGCGCGTTGATGTCGAACGCTTATTGGGCTTTCTCTTTCGTGCCGCCAACGCGCTGGAGGCACGGGATGCCAAGGCTCGATCGGATCTCGAACTTGTGGTGGTCGTCCTTGATGCACAGCGTCCTGTAAACCGATGGTCGGTCAAGCCGTTCAAAATCAAATGATACAATGGGACTGAGGGGGAGCAATGTAAGCTGCCCCCTCACCCACCGAGACGCACATATCTAGCCATGATAGCACATGAGCGGTCGGGAGGACGGTAGACCGGGAAAGCGTACTTACACGTGTTTCCGACGAGCATGAGATAGGTTCCAGTAGCCTATGCGTGCACGCGGGTGAATAGAGTCAGTGAGGAGAGATGTTGCGTAAGGCTCACTGTGAAGATGTGCCACCAAGAATGTCCTGCACGCAGAAAATCAGATACAGCCCCGTTGTGCAGGCAGATTCACGCACCTTCTAGAATGAACGCGGCAGGCCAGCCGAGTGCATGTTTCCAACGCGTTATAGTGTCGCAAAAGACGTTGTCGAGATTCCAGATGAAGAAGCCGAACGCAAACGTAGCAGCACCGACCCCGAAGAAGCGGGCGACGATGGATTTGACATGGGCCGGAACGCGTTTTGCGATCTCGGGGTCGCGCAAGAGGTAGACGGTGCGCACACCAGTGATAGCGAGCAATCCCGCGAAGACGATCTGGTGGTAGACTGGATTGCGGTTGATGTAGCTATTCAAATTGTGCGGGCGGGGAAGTCAGCAGGCGCGCCAAAGAGGAGCTATAGCACGCGCCCGGGGGACGGAGTGACAAAGGAGACGCACTAGGACCAGGTGAACAGGATGTCAAACGTTGTCACGCCAACGGCGAGAGGAAGGACGGGCGAGTCCCGCAGCCCAAATCCACGCGCGGTGTCGAAGAGGGTGGCACAGCAGTAGGACGCGACGTAGATCATGGGCAGCTCATCGGCGAGCTGGGCTTCGAACAAAAGCGTCGCGTGGAAGATGAAACTGCCCACCCCGACGAGCGCAAAGCCCTTGTAGTCGTCGAGTTAGCGTGTAATGACCGTGTAAACGTCCGGACACACTCACTGCTTGACCAACAAAGTACCGTGCCGGTAGAGACTGCGAATATGCCTGATACGCGCCCCATAAAGCCAAGCCAACAGTGACTAGGTTTGAAAATGTGTTGGCGGACTCTGCGATGTAATTAGAGAACTGGTAGTTCGCCTGCGGTCGTCGGTGATGAGCTCGGCCTGGAGATCAGCTCGGAAATGACGGACCTCGCACCAGTCGAGGGTTGCAGTGACGGGGCCCCAGAACTGGAGCGGATTGACGTGGGCAAGGGTGCTATTCGAGAGTACACTGGTTACGCTCATGGCGGTGAGAAAGGGAAGGAGAAGAAAGATAGAGCTGGCTCCCGTCCGTCTCGCTCGTCCAAGCCGCTATGTCCGACTGCTAATATAGCCTCCTCCGGCCCAGTCACAGTGAACTCATTAACATCAAAAAGGCCTCACCGTGACTCGAACACGGGACCCTTCGATGAATTGGGATCAGGCATATTACACTGCAATCGAATGCTCTAAACCGCTGAGCTATAAGGCCTAGTACTATTGTTCACAATAATGTATCCAATTGTACAATTACGTCACCAGCATGCCCTTGCGACTTGCCCAGCGCTGTGTCAGCGACTCGCACTCCGACCACCACCTCGATGCGACGTGCAACATCTTCACTCATTCGCAACAGCTTTCGGAGACAGCGAAGAGGATATGCAGCGCACGCAGACGCCAGCCCACTGGTGAAGATCACGACTCTTCCTAACAAAATCCGTGTCGCGACAGAGTCAACTCCTGGGCATTTCTCGGCGGTAGGGCTGTATGTCGACGCAGGCTCTCGCTATGAGACGCTATCTTCCTCAGGTGTGAGCCACTTCTTGGACAGAATGGCCTTCAAGGTGCGTAACGAAACGACAAGCACTCGTCGTATGCTGAGGCCATGTGTAGACTACGAGCTCTCGGTCGGATGAGGAGATGGCACAAGCCATTGACAAGCTTGGTGGTCAGATCCTATGCTCGTCTTCTCGAGAGTCCATCATGTATCAGTCGTCGCATTTCCACCAGGCGACCCCTTTGGCTCTTTCACTCATCGCAGACACAACATTGCACGCGTCTTTTCTCCCGGAGGAGATTGACGCACAACGAGAAGCGGCACGCTACGAGATTCGGGAGGTGAGCGCAAAGCCAGAGATGATCTTGCCAGAGATCCTGCATGAAGTCGCGTACGATGGCAATACCCTTGGAAACCCACTACTCTGCCCAGAGCACCGGATAGACCTCATGGACCAGGCGACGATGAAGGGTTTCATGAGGCAGTGGTTCCGGCCCGAGCGTATGGTCATAGCGGGTGCTGGAATGGCACACGAGGAGCTGGTGGAACTCGCGGACAAGCACTTCTCATCATTACAGCCTGTGCCCTCCACCGCTCCGTCCGCTTCATCATCACGCTCGACGCAGCAAGTACCGTCGCAGCTTCTACACTCCTCATCTACACCGTCACCGTTCAAGTCGCTCACCCGTGCAGCATCCTCATACCTCTACCCTACGAACATTGACGCCGCACTAATTCCGGACTCAACTGCTGCGACGTACACGGGCGGCTCGCGGTTCATTCATAACCCCTCGTCCGAGTTCAACCACGTGTACCTTGCCTTCGAGGGCGTCGGCATCCACGACGATGACGTCTACGCGCTCGCGACGATGCAGGTGCTGCTCGGGGGCGGGGGCAGCTTCTCCGCGGGCGGCCCGGGCAAGGGCATGTACTCGCGACTGTACACGCACATCCTGAATCACTACCCGCAGATCGACCACTGCGCGTCCTTCCACCACATCTACACCGACTCGTCGCTCTTCGGGCTCTTCGTGTCCTTCGTGCCCGCGACGGGCCGCCACTCGCCCGGCAACACGCCCGCGCAGATCTTCCCGCACCTCGTGCATCAGCTCTCGCTCCTCCTGTACACGCCCGTCAGCGAGGGCGAGCTCCAGCGCGCGAAGAACCAGCTCAAGAGCAGTCTCATGATGGCGCTCGAGAGCCGCGCCATCGAGGTCGAGGACCTTGGTCGCCAGGTGCTCGTGCACAACCGCAAGGTCCCCGTCAGCGAGATGTGCGCCAAAATCGACGCGGTCAGCCCTGAGTCTCTCCGCGCAGTTGCACAGAGGATCTTCAGCCCCGAACAAGCGAAGAAGGCGACGGTCGTCGTCATGGGTCGTGATGACCTCCCCGACCGGGACGCTACGCTGCGGAAGTACGGGGTCGGAGGTGCTGTGTGAAAGGACTCTGGATAGTTATTGTATCATGCTATGCTATCAGTACAACATTGAATTAATACACCACACATCATGCATATCGTACTGGCACAGCAGCAGAGCATTCGCGACAACGTAACATGGCGGTCACAGGGATAAATGCGTCACTGATCAGTCAATTGGGGCTGGTCCCGATTTGAGCTGCTGGAACCTCGTGTTGTTCAAGGTTTTCAAGTACACCATGGCATCGGTATCGGGATCCATCCACGCGCTCGGATGCGAAGGCATGAGGTTTGAGATCTATGAGCAATGAGCCTGATGCAGAGACCATGACGATAGCGCAGCAATACGTACGAGGTATCTCTCGCCGACTTCGAAGTGTCCTGGCTTGCCGCCCTCGGTTTGCACGAAGTTGAGTATGTCCCATATATTGATCTGCCCCGATCGGAAAGGCTCGCGTTTGCTCCATCGCGCGTCTTTGACGACGATGACTCGGAAACTCCGTGAGTCGCGGGGAGGGAAGTCCGCCTGTGTGATACCTCAACTACATATTGGTCGATAACAGGAGTGGACGTACTTCAAGTTCCTTGCCGATTTCCTCGGATAGGCTCTCTCTGGCTTTCTCGATATCACGACGAGCGTGATACGCAAGCCAGCCAGCACGATCAGTGGTCAAGTCGCGTTTGAGTTGCGAAAGGCATATGGCTTCGTCTACAAGGTTCATCCACTGGTCTTCCGCGCTCGAGGCCACTGCACACCAATCAGTACCCTCAGTGAGGGAACCATGGAAAACGTACGGTGTTCGTTCTCGTCTGTAGGCTTCCAACCGGACCCTGCGCGCGCTTCAAATGTCTCCGCCCATCCAATCCAATGGTAAATCTTGCGGTCATAGTCATCGCGAAGCTTTTGCGCGGCCGCTTCACGTTGGGCCTGCCCGAAGTTAGTCGATTGCTCCAGAGCAGGACTTTACGAGCTCACCCTCCACTTGTCCTGAGCTTCCGACTCCTCCTTTTCACTGAGTGTGCCAAGGAAGGCCTTCTTCCCATCGGTCGTGGTCGTAAATTCCGTATACGCGATGGGTAATACCTACCAGGAGGACTAGACATCAGCATACATCGAACTTCGTCCATCAAATCGTACTCGCCTTCTCAACAACGACGTCTATCAACGTTACGAGCCCGCCATCCGCAGTCAAGCTGTCCAGGGTCGCCACCCAGGGACGGCGTACGAACCCTAGTTTCGCATTCCATGGAGCCAGATGGGACGAGTTCCCGCATATCTCCAGGTTCATCCGCAAGTATGCATCGAGGGGCTCCGCGGGCTCCCGCCCCTCCTGGTGGCACAACTACCCGACACACGCACGCAGTCAGCACAGCCTGCACGCACCACAACCGCGACACGCACCCTCGCATTCTGCATCGCGAGCTTCCTGCCGGGGCGGATGTGCCCCTTCGAGATGGCACGCTCGATGGGGTCGTCGACTGCGACGCGGATGCGGTACCACCCGTCCGTCATCTCGACGACCGCCCAGTGGTCCGGGGTGCTGCCGTCCGCGTCGCGCGGGCCGTCGTGCCAGGTGATCTTCGTCACGCAGAGCACCATCGGGCACGTCGCCGGCGCGTCGTGCGTCGTGATGAGCCGTAGTGGGGGCCGGCTGCCCGAGTTGAGCTCGCGCTCGTACCTGCGACCCCGGTCAGCGCGGATCGGTAGCTTAGGGAGAGAGGAGAAATGTACCTATAGAGAAACTGGTTGATGACTTCGTCCCAGCACCATCGGCGCGTGGCTGGGTCTGCCTCGAGCTGCGGCTGCAGGCAGACCATACCTGCTAGCTTCCAGAGTATCAATGGCCAGTGATTATCCACCCATTCCCGAGTCGCAAGTTCGCACTCCGCTTCTTGGAGATCTCTGAGGGCTGCGCCGGGGCCAAGGAACTCGCTTGGTTGCGATGGTACACTGTCTCTGAAACGAGAGTGGAACCGGTAGAAGAGCGCATTTTCGGCTGTCAGTTGTTTCATGCCGTCATAGCCACTAATATAATGCCGATTAAGAATGGAACAGCGACGGACGTTGGCAGTACGTACCTGCCAACCATGTTCGACAACTCGACTTCGTCATACATTTGAGGCCGAAACCCGATTGATTCGAGTGTTTGTCGATCAGCAGGCTTTCCTGTAACAAGGTGTTAGCCAGTGTAACCGGCTAGTACCTGATGACTGACCGATCCTGAAGAATGTAGTCTTTGCAGTGGCCTTATTGTTATAATACGCAGGCCGAGGGCTCCCTACAACAGTGACGTTCGCCTGTTGTAACGCTTCCTTAGCTTTCTGTTCCAGCTCAAGACGACCTGGTTCCCCCGGTCTCATGCCAGCCTTGAACGGCGTGACAAATTTGGGCTTTCCCGCAGCAGATGTGAAACCTAGACGACGCGGGGTTAGGCCTAGAGACTTGCTCGGCATGCCTCCAACCCGTGGCACCGGCGGGGTGAACGACGACGTCCCTGTGCGAGTGGGCGTCGCAAATGCCGACGATCTCGACGCAGACGTGGTTGTAGCGGCTTTCGGGTTGAGTGGCGAGTTGACATACGCCGGCTTCGTGGGTGACGCCGTCGCAGAGTTGGGGTGCGTGAGCAGAGGCGACTTGAATGCTTTCTTGCCCTTCCCAACGCCGAGTGCGGGAAGCTTGCCCATGCCGCTCGCGCGCGCAAAGCCAGCACCAGCGGGACTCGGACTCTCCGGGGCACCTCCCGGCCCAAACGAGTTATCCAACGCCCGTAATGCGGGCCGTACACCACCCTCCGGAGGCTCAGGGATGGATGGGTCGACGGTAAAGTCTTCGTCTATCTGCGCCTCCCACGCTTTCATCTTCGCCGCCGCGAGGGCGAGTGCGTCAGCGGACGGCTTCGCCCAGTCGTGGAGGGTCGTGCCGCTCTCTAAACTGTGCACATAGTTGATAGCGGGGCTGAAGCCCGCGATGGTTGGCACGTCTGCGTTTATCTGAGAGACTGGCGGGCCGCGCTCTCCTTCGAAGAGGACGCGGCATGAGGTGAAGGTGGGGAGAGCAGCGAGAGCGGGATCAAGCGGGGTAGGATCGGCGGCGGGTGGAGGGACAGAGTGAATTGCTCGCGCTGTTTGGAAACCAGTCGACGCGCCTTCCGGTACTTTGGCGGAGAACCAGTCTGAATAGTCCTGATCTGGGGGTGCTTCTGGAGACGGGGATGGTTGCTTGTCGTCCACTTGCTCGAACGAACCTTCGATCAGCTTGGCTGCGGAAGTAAAGCCAGTGTCGTGGAGTCTAGTAGGT